CGGTGAGACAGTGACGGCGGTGAGAGCGGGGCCGGTGAGACAGTGACAGCGGGGCCGGTGAGACAGTGACAGCGGTGTCGATGAGACAGTGATGGCGGTGAGAGCGGGGTCGCCGGTCCCCGAACATTAACTCTGATTTTTTCTTCACAAATGTTGCCAGGTCTGCTGAGCTTTTCCCGCAACTTCTGTTTTTGCTTTTGCCCCTGAATATTTAGTTCCCAGATTTAATTTTCTTGTAACCCTGTCTCTGTCATGGATATACAATCAGAACTGTTAATCTGTATTTGTGATATTAATTCATCTATTTTGCTCCTCATACTTACGCATTCATTATTTTGCCTTTTTTGCCCTTTAACCCTTTAATTGTCCTTTTGCCAATTACCTCTGGTGCATGAGCCTTCTACCATGATTTAATTTCTTTTTCTATTCATTGGGGAGGTGATGGTTTAGTGGTATTGTCGTTGGATTGTTAATTGAGAGACCCAGATAATGTTCTGGGGACTCTGGTTCGAATCCCACCATGGCAGATGGTGGAATTTGAATTCAATAAAAATATCTGGAATTAAGAGCCAAACGATAACCATGAATCCATTGTCGATTTTTGGAAAAATCCATCTGGTTCATTAATGTCCTTTAGGGAAGGGAACTGCCATCCTTACTTGGTCTGGCCTACATGGACTCCAGACCCACAGCAATGTGGTTGACTCTTAACTGCCCTCTGGGCAATTAGGGATGGGCAATAAATGCTGCCCAGCCAGCGACGCCCTCATCCTATGAATGAATTTTTAAAAAATTGTGGGATGTGGGTGTCACTGGCTGGCCAGGTATTTATTACTTGTCCCTCGGTACTGTTGAGAAGATGGTGGTGAGCTGCCTTCTTGAAATGCTGCAGTCCATCTTTCTACTGCATCTTTCTGCTGAATCCAGCAAAATTAATATGGCATGTTTAAGAAAGGTTCCATCAGGATATAAGTTATTAACTCTCCTGTGATACTGAGAAGTATAAAGCAGGATGCTCAGATTGTGACTACTGGTCTGAGCTGTGTGAACCCAAGTTGCCTGTATGAATGTGAGAAATTATTTCAGCCCCTGTTTCTGGGGCAAGGGTAGGAAACTGAACTATCCAGGGATCTGTACCTCACTAGGCTCCAGAGACATGTCATTGGCTTCAACTATGCTGGAAAGGCCACCGTGGCCAAACAGCATGACAATACTCAGTGTAGGCTTATGGATGAAGAACAGTCATTTGGATGAGATAATGGTCACCCCAGGGAGCCATGTTCCATTAACAGAGTGGCAATATGGATCAGCCCACTGAGACTACTAATCTTCTCGTCTCGCATTCTTTAATATCCTGGAAACATAAAGCAAATGTGTCTGAACAGACAGATCACGAAACACCAACCTTTTTCCAACATGTATATTGTCTGTGTGAACCTGTTGACATCCTTTTGAATTGTGTCCACATTCAGTTCATTAAACAAGGTATCAGTCCAATGCATGTACAGCTTCTCCCATTCACCTTGCGACTCCCATAGCAGTTTCCTCAACATTAACTCATACTCAGTCTCAGACAGCAGTGTATTCAGTGCCTGAGTGCTCTTGCCTCCACACTTCTGTACGGTGTGAATACTGTTGGCAATGGAGGCCCCTGTGCCGTCTGTGGTGCAGAAATGTTCTTGATAGTTGCTGTAGCTTTGTGTCTTATTGGCTATTGTTGAGATTTCAGCCATCAAGGCATTAATGTCTTCTAGGGCTTTTTGTGGAGATGTCTCTGACTGGAGGAGTGTGGGATTTCTTACCTGAAAAATCACAACAAATCAAAACATAGAAACATAGAAACATAGAAGATAGGAGCAGGAAGAGGCCATTCAGCCCTTTGAGCCTGCTCTGCATTCTTCATAATTGTGGCTGATCATCCAACTCAATAGCCTAATCCTGCTTTCTCCCCATAACCTTTGATCCCATTCGCCCCAAGTGCTATATCTAGTCGCCTCTTGAATATATTCGATGTTTTGGTATCGACTACTTCCTGTGGTAATGAATTCCACAGGCTCACAACTCTCTGGTGAAGAAATGTCTCCTTATCTCCGTCCTAAACGGTCTATCCCGAATCCTCATACTGTGATTCCTGGTGGACACACCCACCATTGGGAACATCCTCCCTGCACCTACCCTGTCCGGTTCTGTTAGAATTTTATAAGTCTCTATGTGATCTGCCCTCATTCATCTGAATTCCAGCAAAAACAATCCCAACCTAGTCAATCTCTCCTCATACATCAGTCCCGTCATCCCCAGAATCAGCCTGCACTCGCTGCACTCCCTCAAGAGCAAGAGCATCCTTCCTCAGAAAAGGAGACCAAAACGGCACACGATATTCCAGGTGTGGTCTCACCAAGGCCCTGTATAACTGCAGCAACTTATCCCAGCTCCTGTATTCAACCTCTCGCAATGAAGGCCAACATACCATTTGCCTTCTTTACCACCTGCTGTACCTACATGCTTACCTTCAGCAACTACTGCACAAGGACACCCGGGCCCTGCTGCACACTCCCCTCTCCCAACTTACAGACAGAGGTTCAGGTAGTAATTTTCCTTCTTGTTTTTGCTTCCAAAGTGAATAAACCTCACATTTATCCAAATTATACTGCATCTGCCATTGATTTGCCTACTCACCCAACTTTGAGATCATGCTGAAGGATCTCTGCATCCTTGTCACATTCACCCTCCCACCCAACTTGGTGTCATCTGCAAACTTGGAGATGTTACATTTTGTTCCCTCGTCCAAATCATGAATATATATTGTGAATAGCTGGGTTTCCAGCACTGATCCCTGTGGCACCCCACTAGTTAAATAGCTCAGCTTCAAATTTCATCACCTACAACATCTTGCATTTATTTAGCATCTTCAAAATAAACATCCAAGCATGGACAAAAGATCCACTTATCAGATAGAAGGTGAGAGAGATTTTCATTCCAAGAAGGCAGACTTAAACTGTATGTGGCATTGAGGGTTATTTTTCAAGCAGGCAAACTAACTAGTAGTGTCTCACAGAGATCAATGCTGGGTCCAAAATATTTACAATAAATAGTCGTGACTTGGATGAATGTCATTTTAGCTAATGATGCAAACATAAGTCGATAAAACAAGTTGTGAGGAGTCAAAGTGTGTGAAAAAAGATAGTTTAAGTGAGTGTACAAAAAAGTGGCAGATGTAACATGATGTGAAAAAAATGTGAGATTGTCCACATTCCTGGGAAGAATGCAGAACAAAAATGGTTTTGTGCCTGGAATGCACTATCTGGACCTGTAGCTAAACAAAAAAGACAGAATGGGAAATAAGAAACATGACAGGCAGAGAATTCAGGGGCAAGAATTAAACAGAACCACAGTGTAATATAATCAGAATGAGACGAAGAATGTTAAAAGGCCTTGTCTTACCACACAAAGCATTCATAATAAACTGGATAAATTAGTCATGCGATTGGATATAACCAGATATGACAGAGTTTCGATTACAGAGACATAACTGCAGGGTGACCAGGGATGGGAACTGAATATCCAGGAGTCTTCAGTACTTTGCAAGAATAGACAAAAGAAGATATTAAAGCAATAGTGAAGAAGGATATTAGCTCCAGTGTAGGGGAATCTACATGGGTTGAGCTTAGAAATACCAAGAGGCAGAAAACAATAGTGAGAGTTTTATCCAGACCCCAAAACTTTTGTGGCAATGTTGGGGAAGACAGTAAACAGGAAATTAAAGTTGGAAGCAATAAAGATACAGCTGTATTAATGGATAACTTTAACCTGCATCTAGATTAGGCAAATCAAATAAGTAACAATGTCGTAGAGAGGAGTTCCTGGAGAGAGTACATGATGGTTTTCTGGCTCAATGCATTGAGGAACCAACTAGAGAACAAGACATCTTTGGCAGGGCATTTTTCACAAGAAAGGAATAATTGGCAATCCAGCTGTGCAAGGCACCTTGAGGAAAAGTATTCATAATATGATAAAATTCCTCATTAAGATGGAGAGTGATGCAATTGATTCTGAGACTAGGGTCCTGAATCTAAATTTTAAAGATTGACAATGAGCCGGCTTTGATAAATTTGGGAATGTTAGTTAACGGGATGACGGTGGATAGGCAAAGGCAAACATTTAGAGAGTGCATGGAAGAGCTGCAACTATTGTTTATTCCTGTCTGGCACAAAAACAACATGGTGGCTCAGGGACCTGGGTACAATTCCACCCTCAGGCAACTGTCTGTGGAGTTTGCACATTCTCCCCCTGTCTGCGTGGATTTCCTCTGGGTGCTCTGGTTTCCTCCCACAGTCCAAAGATGTGCAGGTTAGGTGGATTAGCCATGCTAAAGTACTCATCGTATCCAGGGATGGATGGATTGGTATGTTGAATGCTCTATAGGAATTGGTGTGGACTTAATGGCCCTAATGGCCTGTTTATATGCTGTAGGGATTCTATGATTCTAAAATGGGAAAGGTAAAGGTAGCCCAGCCATGGCTAACAATGGAAATTTGGGATGGTATTAGATCCTTTCTGTCTATACTTCCCAAGTACTGAATATCCTGGTTATCCAGTTCCAATCCCTGGTCACTCCACATCCACATCTCCATAATCTAACCAAGTCATCTGTTTATATCTATTTGAACAACTAATTCATCTAAGGAAAGGACATACACATTGTCCAATAAAAGCAACAGACCTGAGGATCAGAAGCTGTTTAGATTTCAGCAAAGGTGGGCAATGGGAATGATAAAGCGGGGTAAGAGATTATGAGAATAAGTTTGCAAGAACATGCAAACAGCATGTAAAAAATTCTGTGAGGAGATAAAGATTAGTTAAGACAAACACAGTAAATATGTACTAGTAGGGAAATGGTATTGGGGAAATTGATGGGATTAAATACCAATAAATCCCCAGGGCCTGATATACTCCATCTGAGAGTTTTTACTTGGATGCATTAATGGTCATCTTTTGAGATTCTATACTCTCTGGAACAGTACCTTTGAATTGGAGGGTAGTTAATGTAACCTCACTATTTAAAAAATGACAGCGAAAACAGGGAATTATAGATGGGTTAGACTAATGTTGGTAGGGAGGAAAATGTTGCAATCCATTATAAATTATATACAATATCATTTACAGTTCAGGCTCATATTGACTGATGTTTTGAAGAATAAGGGGGAATCTCAGAAATGCAACATTATAATAGGTCTATACAAGTAATCACAGGAAAGATGTTCTTGATAACAGGGGAGTCCAGAACCAGGGATCACAGTTTAAGCATATTGAGATGAGGAAAGATATCTTCACCCAGAGAGTCGTGAGCCTGTGGAATTCTCTGACACAGAAAGTGGTTACGACAAAACATTGAATGTTTTCAAGAAGGAGACCTATATAGTTCTCGGGTCAAAGGGATCAAAAAGAGCATGGGAAGAAAGTGGGAACACTGATCTGGATGATTCGTCAGAATCATATTGAATGGTGAAGCAGCTCGAAGGGCTGAATGGCCGACTCCACTCTAATGTTTCCTCCTGATAGAGGCAGCTTCAATTGAGGCATTGATGAGACACTAGATGATTATTTAAATGGAAACGAGAGTTATTGGGAAAGGGCACAAGGGCAGCACTTGGTCACAATGCTCATTTGGAGAGAAGATTACAGACATAATGAGCTGAATGAGCGTCCTTTGCACCATAACAATTCTGTGATTCTAAAACTTAAACAGAAACAAACTTTAGAATGCTACAGTTTCTGGATATCCTCCCAGTACTCACATCTCTAGGGCCAACCCAAGGTACACACCACTTCAAGCACTTCAAACCAGGAACATGCCCTGACACTATGGTGCTTGACCTCTATCACCAAAGACATGGCCCAGAGGAACAGAAAGTTCACTCCCCACTTTATGCAGGAATGTGGAGGCACTGGTGGAAGGGCAGGTGGAGCAGACGCAGGTGTTTATCCTGCATACCACCACAGGAAGCCACAGTGACAGTCTGAACCAAGCTGACCCAAATTCCCGCCTAGGTCAGTGTTGTGCACTGCTTGAAGCAGGCCACCCAGCAAAACCGGAAGGTCAATGATCTTCTGCATTCCACAAGGATAAGTGCTACCATCTTCTCCCTGCTTATTCACACTCAAAGGGCCACTATTCACTGTGGAAGGAGGAAGCACCTGACTAAATGTAGCCAAAGCCCTGGACTAGAATTGGACAAGCCTCTTGACTGACTGTGAAGGTATCCCCTGACAGATCACAGTCCCCCACTTCTCCCACTAAGGACTTCTGCTTTTTAACATTTACGTGTTCTCATGTGCTCAAAGCACATGCAGTTTCTTTTTTCATTCATTGACAGGATGTGAGTTTTACTCGTTCAGCCAGCATATATTGTCCATTCCTAATTCCATTCGAGAAGGTGAGCTGCTGCTTGAGCTGTTTTAGTTTATTGGTGTACATACTTCCGCAATGCCATGATGGAGGGAATTCCAGGATTTTGATTCAGCAACATTAAGGAATGGTGATCTGTCTCCAAGTAAATGGTAAGATTCTTGGTAGTGTGGATGAGCAGAAAGATCTCGGTGTCCATGTGCATAGATCACTGAAAGTTGCCACCCAGGTTGATAGTGTTGTTAAGAAGGCGTACAGTATGTTAGGTTTTATTGGTAGAGGGATTGAGTTTCGGAGCCATGAGGTCATGTTGCAGCTGTACAAAACTCTGGTGCGGCCGCACTTGGAGTATTGCGTACAGTTCTGGTCACCGCATTATAGGAAGGATGTGGAAGCATTGGAAAGGGTGCAGAGGAGATTTACCAGGATGTTGCCTGGTATGGAGGGAAGGTCTTATGAGGAAAGGCTGAGGGTTTTGAGGCTGTTTTCATTAGAGAGAAGAAGGTTAAGAAGTGACTTGATAGAGACATACAAGATCATCAGAGGATTAGATAGGGTGGACAGTGGGAGCCTTTTTCCTCGGATGGTGATGGCTAGCACGAGGGGACATAGCTTTAAATTGAGGGGTGATAGATATAGGACAGATGTCAGAGGTAGGTTCTTTACTCAGAGAGTAGTAAGGGCGTGGAATGCCCTGCCTGCAAAAATAGTAGACTCGCCCACTTTAAGGGCATTTAAATGGTCATTGGATAAACATATGGATGATAATGGAATAGT